AGTTGTATCTAGTTCCCCCTAGCTACTTAGTTTCCTAATGGCAAAGTCTCAGAGCAGATGTTATGGATATTGCCGCGACCACACATTTGTTTGGCTTAGCTTGAACAAAATTCTATAGAAGAAATTATTGTATTTTGCGTGGGCGAATCAAAGGCGCCGCCAGTACTATATTCATCATACAGAACAGTTTTTGAATGAAATGTACTATATCGCGCGGAACTGTACTATATCACACGAACTGTATATACTATATCTGCGGACTAGCGTACGCTTTGCGGGAATGACGAGGGGCGTACCAAAACGCTGCTGGAAGGGCGCTCCGCGAGCTTCTGTCTCTCTCTTTCTGTTCGACGCGGTGTTCCTGGTCGCCGCCTTTTGAATCGCCCACGCATACAATAAATTACTTAATGTACGGAAGCACGTGCTGTGCGCGTGATAATGGTACTCGGAACGTGGTCTCGATAGATCATACAGCAACTCGGCTGCTCCTCGTGCTGTATGACTATCTCGACCATGCCCCTCGTACCATTATTACGCGCACAGCACTGACTTCCGCACATTAACTATTACATGTTGAACTTCTAAGGAGTGTTGTACAGTGTTGTAGTAGCTACATCTTTGTTTATTCACCAAGTCACCTTGGTACTAAGATAACATTGTTGCCCCAAAAGGGTTCCCTAACAATATGTGCAGCTAGTTAATGGCAGTCTGATTGTTCTGCAACTTTCTCAAGTGAGGCTTACATATTGACATATTTATATATATATATTTTTTTTATATATAATTTTTTCTGCCTAGGCTATATACCAGGTCCAAATACACAGATGCCATACAAGAGCTACCAAACCCAACAATCAGGACTTTGTCATTCTCCTCTACAAAGACAGCCGTATTTTTGCCCGTTTTATTAGAATCATATGCAACATTATAATTGCACGAGGATAAAATAATTATTGAGAAATCTGACATTCACACGACTAGGAAGGCTCGCTTGCTCGCCTGTCAAGGCAATGCAATGACAAACTAATATGGTCTTTAATTAATGATTTGCCGGGCAATTGCTTCAGGGAAACCTACAGTGCATGAAAATTACAGTATGTCAAGAATGTCATGGGGCAGAGATAACATTCCACACTCCATACCCACCGCAACTTTCACGCATGACAATGGAAGTTTGAGATTGAAACTGACAGTAAAATTAAATTATATAATAATTGTTGATTAATTTGCATTATTTGTAGCTAACGCCTGTGGAATGAGGCTGGTCAAGGGCAAGTTTGATGTGGCGAGACTAGTGGGCAAGCAAGCGCTGTCGTTAACTTTATTACACTGCACATCCTGCCAGCGCCGTATACACAGCCGTCAGCAACAAACATTAGCTAAAGCTATTACGTTCCTTCAAGACAACAAACAATGCTTAGCTAGGTATTCTTGAATTCGTGGCCACACCACACGTAATACTGATCGCTACACTCAGTAGCGCCGGAAAATAGCTGTATATCCCAGGTAGCATTATGCTAGCTATAATACGTACGTTGTCAGCTACTCCCAGTCGTGTAACTTACAACAAAGGCTAGTAGCATCGTTCCCCGCTTTGGTGGCCCGAACCCAAACCAGCGCACCATAGCTGTTTGATCGGTGACTTTCCAACAACAGTAACAGAATCCCTGTGATTAATAGACTAGGAACCAAGTGCGAGCTGCAGCGGCGGTCCTTGCGCGAAATTGCGGTCAGTGCGCATGCTCAGGAGAGTTATGCCCAAACAAGGAGAACTTCTATCGCTACTATTACAGACTTCCTGTTTGGGTACATCTCGTATGGGCTAGAGTATACATGTGTAATGGCACATTGCTGACTGTCTTAGAAGCTTCTGCTGGCATTCACTCACTTTTACTGCAAGACAAACTAAACTCCAGTTAAAACTAATTAGTCAGGGGGCCTGTGGAGTGATTTTAGCCTCTAAGGATACTCTCAAGCCCACCTTGTCATAGCAGAAACAGCTTTTCAGGGGCATATGTGAAGCATACAAATTATTCCCTCAATAGGTCCTCATTCTAAGGACAAAAGCAGAATGCGGAAAATATTCCTCCTACACAGTGGAGCAGGTGGGACAGAGCCCTGTCCACAGTGTTTACTCTGCAGTTCACCTCACTCCAGATTGGAGATAAACATTGGCAGATAAACACACTGCTCCAGGGGTTGGAGTGATAGTATCCAGAGACAGAGTTCTTTGCTCTCTAATAGTATATGGAGACGCAGTAACCACATCCTTAGAAGGTTCATCCGCTGTATATTTAGCTTCTTTCCCATGAGGCCTCCCAAGAAAGGCCTGGGAATGAGGCTAGTGTTTGTTAGGCAGTAAAAGGAGTGTGCTTAGCTGGGAGTCCCAGCATTCGTACACTAGGATGGAAAGTTGAAAAAATATGTCCAGTTTAAATGCTGTGTGTTATTTGTAAACACTTTCCATTTCCCAATTTTCCTTACTGCATGCGTTAATAGTACAGATCTCAATTACCGCCAATGTAACCTCTGCCAAATAAGGTGCACTTTAAATGCTTAAAGGAAAACTTGTTGATGGGATCGGGTTTGACTGGTGCATGATTGACAAGAGTGAGTCCACTGAGTAAGCAGGGCACCTGAAGTTGATGTGAACATGTAAGAAAAACAGTCAGGTTTGTAACAGAGAAAACTGCTGTAGTAAGTAGTAATGCATGTATGTGCATACATAAACTCAGTGTATACATACACCACCATGTTTCCAGAGTGTAGGCGGCCCTAGTGAATGCTTCCACAGGCTAGTAACTTGACCACAGTGAAAACAAACAAGGTGTACTGAGTACTAAAGGGTGCATGCTATTTCAGAGTTTTGTAAGACTTAAGAGTAAATGTTTGCGTGCACTGTGTACACGCGATTTTGTTATTGTAGCTCCTCCAGAGGCAATTATACGTTGCATGACTTTGATAGCTATCTTGCTTATAGGTGACTCATGCTTACTTACCCACAACTCAGAATGAAAAACAAGTAAGAGTCACCCACTTGCTGGCAGTATATACCTTGCCACGCTTAGGAAATGATTTCGATAACTACATTATATATATTATACATTATAACTAAAACTAACAGCAAAATGCTAACTATAACTAGCATCACAATGACAAACTCAAGTTTTTAATCAGAATTCACATGTTTGGAGCTCTATGCCTAGAGTCAATAATTACGTCAGACTTGAAAGCGGAAGGTTGCTCCTTTATTGGTCTGACATCCTTTAGGAACTACTCTCAGGCGGTGTGGACTCTGGGCCTTAGACCAGTCAGAGGATTGGAACCTGTGCGAGAGGGATACGTACATATGGAAACAGTAGTTGTCTGTGCTATAGCTATATTGAGTGGCATACAGTTCGGTAGGACTGTTCCATCGAGTTTGCAGGTGTATCCAGCAATGGCAGAGCCCACGTCACGGAACATAAATGTAGCTGAAGCCCCATCCACATCAATGTCACCCACCAGTTCAACAGTACACACCTCTGTGTGAGTGGTCATGTGACAGTAACTATTAAAACTAAGTTTTTTAGCAAGCAAATCCAAGTACAAAAATTTTATGAGTATTTGTTGGATATACATAGGCAACCGACATGTACAAAGCTAGGTACTTGGAAATTTATCAGCCTATACAATCCTGCATGTGCAAGCAGGGTTCATACTTGTCATTTTGCCTAGGGATATCCAACAAATCTTTTGCAGTGCCCAGACAGGAAGCATTCACCCTTGCAGGGCTCATGGTTTCCTGTCTCAGTCTGCAACATTATATTAGCTAGCCGTTACCTAGAGACCAATGTATCTACCATTAAAAGTATAAGGACAGCGCTAAACATACAAGAAATTGGGAAATACAGCACAGATGAATGTGACAAACCGCTACTGCAGAGAGGTGGCTGTCCACTCCATGTCCCATTACTCCCACAGGTTCTGACACCATCGCCTCCAACTAGTCTGAATCCTTGGGAGCACGTGTACACTGCCCGTGAACCAGCATCTAAGCTATCATAAGTAACAGAGCCGTCTGCAGGATTCTGCAAATCTGGACATCTTAACCCTGAAAAACAAAAAGTGTTAAGAGCAGGAAGAAAGCCAACCAATGGAAGTAAAATGCTTACTTTCAGTTTGACAAATCTGCCTCCCACTAACAGTGACTGCACGATATCCAGTATCACATTCACACTGAGGAGTTGTACCAGACCAGCTACCACTAGAGCTACACCTGACACTCAGACTAGAGCCAGTTCTGACGTGAGCATTGTCGGCACACTGTGTAGTGACAGTCACTGATCCACTGGCTGGAGCTAGTGTAGTAGGATAGCGAACTAGACCAACATTTCTAGCTGGGCATGTATTAACACCTGTAGAAAACAGAGTAAGTCATGTGAAGGATGGTAGCTACTAAAATGCTTACTTTGACAAATCTGCCTCCCACTAACAGTGACTGCACGATATCCAGTATCACATTCCAGTCCAGCTACCAGTAGAGCTACACCTGACACTCAGACTAGAGCCAGTTCTGACGTGAGCATTGTCAGCACACTGTGTAGTGACAGTCACTGGTCCACTTGTAGAGGCAAGTGTGGCAGGGTATCGCACTAGACCCACACTTTGTGCTGGGCACACTATAAAAACAGACCAAAGCAAACTTAAACTCTTAGGTTTGATAAAATATAGCACATACCTGGACAGTTGGGTGGCGGAGGTGGTGCTGGAATAAACACAAAACTATATCTTGAATGCATAAAGGTTTTGTTTACTTACGGCGTGTAGAATCACCAATTGTCAGCGCGAAAGTTGACGACTGAGTCCCGAAACCGACACTGTTCCCAGCTGCGACCTGCAAATGTACTAATAAGCGCATGACACCGGCAAAAAAGGATGATAAGGTAAGGCGAGCTACCTTTCTATAGGCTCTAAAGGCCAATATATATATATTATATATGTGGCGGTGTGTGAGACAACAGAAGTCTCGTGAAGTATTTTTGCATGGACCTATCGTACCATACGTTGATGGTTTTGTCTCATGTAACAACAAAGTTGCACCATGTTTGTTTGCTGTACCAATGTAGCAGCACAATGCAAGGACTCAAGGAGCAGCGTGTGGTATTGAATGAATCTTAGAATATGGAAAGACTTACAGTTACTCTGAACTCTCCGGAGGTCCAGGGGACATCAGATGATTGGATGATGTAGAAGGTCTGATCATTAGTGGTGGTGACAGTCCTCGTAGTGGAGGTCCCTGACCTAGTGAACACCAGTCTGTAGCCTGTGATGACTCCATTTGGCTCCTCTGGGGGGTTCCACACCACATAGGGATACGTCCCCTGAACTCCACTCACCACTCCTGGACCTTCAGTGGAAACCCCCAAAAAATTTGGGCTGAAAAGAGGAGGGAGTAGCTATGTATGTGAATGCGTGTGTATTGGGGAAGTGAGGAATTATAGCTACACCACTTCCCTGCCATAAATGTTGGTCTAGAAATGTTACTTACGAGGTTCTTGTAGTACACTCCCCTTCAGTCCTGAGGCGTTCTCCATCAGGGTCCTGATCACTGACTCCAATGTGGGATGTCACTCTGACACAGTACTGAGTGTTTGGTCTGAGACTACAGAATGTATAGCTTGTAGTTGTTCCACTGACAAAGTCTGTGAAAGTGTATGATGTGGGGTCTTCATGATCACTCCTGTTCACTTGGTAGTAGAGATCTGTCCTCCCACCAAGATCAGCAGGTGCTGACCATCTTACAGTTATCCTTACCATTGCACCTTGTAGCCCCCATATTTTGCTCATAGCCACAATTACACCGACACACAGGATTTTGAAAACCCCACGTTTCATCACTGCCACATGTGACTCTTGAGCTTCCAGAGACCACTGCATTCTCAACACAACTGTATCAATATTTGCTGAGCCAGACACTGGAGCAGGAGCATCAGGATAGAGGACCAGTCCAACCTGACGAGACTTGCAGTTGTTGCGATAGACTCTCAGTCTTGATAGAGCTATACATGACCCAATGTCCTGGACAGCTATGTAGAAACCAGTGGAAGATGGTGGCAGAGTGAAACTGTAGGTATTGGTGTATGTCTCTGAGGAAGTCGGTCCTTCTGGTACTGCAAAATTTTCATAGTTTTGGGTATTCATGCATCCATTTCCACTTGTACTGGGGAGCTGTTGTGAGTTAGTCATGTAGTGGAGAAGATTGAATCTTTGTAAACAACCTTGCCCTTCTCTACAACTCTGAAATGAGTAAATTGCTTCTACATGTATTGTCACATCATAGTTGTAAATGTTGGAGTCAAAATCTGAACTGATGTGTTGAGTAAAGAGCCAGTTATTCTGAGAAACTACGACACCATTCTGCCTCCATCCACAAACTCGTGTCTGAAATCGACATATTCCTCCAGCTCCTTGTTGCCACTGAAACATGCAGTATAATGTTTACACCTTTACTTTCTTTTAGCTAACTCACATAAGTTGGGGTCAGTGTTTCAGGAATGAGATCATTTCCATCAAAACTGAAGTCATTCCAGACTGCAGTAGCTATGGGATTGTTCCCAGTTCCATTTCCAGGTAAGAGGTTCTCATAGTTGTAACTGTCCATCAGATTCCTCACAGTGTCGGGGTATTGTGGAGGGTTTTTATGATTAACTGTACATCGATCGTCCTCATCTCCTGGAGCCTGCTGGGCCTGGGACCAGTACAGGCTCAAATGCACCAAGAGAAAAGCACATATCTGAGGGAAGGTTAGCTACATAATGAGATTAGACTCCACACACAGTTTACTGAAGACATTTCTGACCACTAGATGCTATCATTTTTAAAGGGTAGGACAATGCCAAGTTGTACTCTAGCAAAAGGTTTCCTAGACAGTAGTGAAGCAGTTCGCGGTGGATTACCTTTTGAGTGCCGGAAATGCGCGGCAGTTTGCTACAAAACAGCGCTGCCGTAGATCACTTCCGAACTTCGTAGGGTTTGTTTTCATGCCCGTAGCTTTACCAGAACAAGGAGTCCGGCGGTCGCTTGGTTCGAGACGCAATTATATCCCCGTCCCAACGACCGAATTTCACTAACATTCGAGGCGATTCTAGGCATGCATACTTGCCAACCGTCCCACATTCCGCGGGACTGTCCCGCAAAAAACAGTGGCGTTCCCGCTGTCCCGCAGCAGAGCCTTATTGTCCCGCGTCCGTATGGCACGCGATCCGTAACAATAATCTCCAAGGTATTACCTGTAGGTAATATATAATGTTTAGGGTTTTTGTTACGGGTGTGCCATACGGCTCCGCGTCACTGCATGCGCGCGCAGGGAGTTTCTATATAGCTCGCTGCGCATGCGTACGATGTGGAGAGACTTGACCTTTGTCCTTTTGCTATTAGCAGCGATAATGTTAGGGAAACTGGGGAAAGGGAGCAACACAAAGAAGTCTACAAACAAGAGAAGATGCAAAACAGTCCTAATTTAAGTGTGTGCATATTAAATAATTGATGTAGTGTTTCTGTCCTGCAATTTTTCTTCATGTCCTGCATTTCTGAACAAAGTGTCCAGTAAAATGAATTTACATGGTTGGCAAGTATGCATGCAGTCAATGTCATGCTGAAATCTGATCACGCCGGTACAGCTAGCTACGTATATAGCTACGTATACGTAACTAGCCAATAACTTATTTTGCGGCTATATCACAGCAAAAACCGATCTCCATCACCGCAATTGCGTTATACTTACCAATGCAGCCCTTGGAACCAGCCAATCCATCACTTGCAAGATAATTTCTGGTAGTCCGCGAATAGTTGCAGTAGCTATCTGTCGTCTTATAACGGTGACTGCAGGAACTGACACCGTCATGCCGAGATGACCTAACATGGGCCGAAGCCCTATACCTCCCTAACACCCACTTCACTCGAGTATGTTTGCAAACACCCGCCATCGAGCGAGCGAGAGATCTCGCGCTCGCTCGATGGCGGGTGTTTGCAAACATACTCGGGTGTTTCGCGCAATAGAAATTGTGGACATTGACCGGCCGCGCGCGCGCCGTCAAAAAAAGTTGAAATCCCATGGAAACGCGAGAGGCCGGATATGCCGGATATAAACCTCAAAGCTTTTTGTTGGCTAAACTATGCACTCTATTTCCGCGAGTAAGCCACGTGGCAATGAGCCAATGACCTCTGAACCGCTAGGAACAAATCCGAGGAGAATCGGCCGGGGAAGACGGTAGCTATGGCCGCCATTACAACGCGCGCAAGAACGAACTTGTGCGGACTGTCGAGCCGAGCTCCCGATTTTGCCATAAGATCTAGGCAGCTTGAAGGACAGCCCAGAGACGGATGTTCCCACCCCTGTTGAGATAGAAATTGTGGACATTGACCGGCCGCGCGCGCGCCGTCAAAAAAATTTGAAATCCCATGGAAACGCGAGAGGCCGGATATGCGGCCAAACCTCAAAGCTTTTTGTTGGCTAAACTATGCACTCTATTTCCGCGAGTAAGCCACGTGGCAATGAGCCAATGACCTCTGAACCGCTAGGAACAAATCCGAGGAGAATCGGCCGGGGAAGACGGTAGCTACGGCCGCCATTACAACGCGCGCAAGAACGAACTTGTGCGGACTGTCGCGCCGAGCTCCCGATTTTGCCATAAGATCTAGGCAGCTTGAAGGACAGCCCAGAGACGGATGTTTCCACCCCTGTTGAGACTGAAGTGCTGCCATTTTTCCTACGCTGCCTGGAAGTGATCAAAGGTAACCGTGTTGTACACATAATGTAAAGTAGCTGTATAGGGCTGTTCAGGTAGTGGATACTTTGAGCTTCTTTTTCGTTGGTGGTATGTGTTGCGCGTTGGCTGGACATATTTGCAGGTAGTGTTCCTGGACCATGTTTTTCAGCCTCTCGACGGGGGTTGGCATGCTTCTGTATGTGGCTCTGAGGGTGTTGAAGCGGGCATGTATTGACTCCGACCCCTGCTCGCCCATCATGCCCAGGCCTGTTTTCCATTTCTGTAGCCATTCGACCAGGTGGCTCTCTAGGAAGTGCATCTTTGGCAACACTGTTGCATGTGGGAAAGTCCTGTAGTACTCCATGAACTCCTTGATGAAACCACCTGTGTAGGAGTGAAAATGCTGGTATGAATTCTATGACGTTTGATGTTCTGTCATGATGTTTTTGTTGTAGGTGAGATGGCAGTTTCTGAAGAGCCCATGTGAATTCTCTATCCAGGAGAGGGTGCAACTAGAGCAGAGAATTGCTCCACATCCTAGTTGGAGTGGCTGGTGCAGGATCTGATCGCATAGAGAGCACGTAACGCTGCTCTGGGGAACAGGGAGTTTTCCCAGATCATACTGTTCTGGCCGCTCAGATGGTGGCATGAGCCTTCTAATATGGTTTCCCAGGATTCTTTTCCCATCTGTTGGTGGGCGTCCTCTTTTTGATGGTTTTCGTCCTGGCCTCTGAAGAGATCTAAAATGCTGGCATACCTACATGTATGTGCGTGTACATACATTTACGTATGTTTGTTTGACTACATACCTACCTCACAACTACTTTCACTGTGCTCTGTCCATACAATTTGAGTACTGCCAGGAGATGTGTGCTGTCGCTCTGCTGATCTATAGCACTGGTTGCAGAAATACTGAGGGTGGACTGTTTCAACATCATGGTCACAGTTCACACCAAGCAGTGCTAGCCTCTCTCTGTAGACAGTGTTCGAACATTTATACATATTTCTGTCTCTCAACTTCTTTCCACAAACGCGACAGTGCTTCTGCAGTTGCTCCTGGTGGAAGTCCCTGTATTTTTCTCCTATGTATTATGCAACGAGTGGTTATGCTGTGATTACTATGCCGGAAAGGCGGCGCATTCCAAGGCCAAGGAAAAAATGCAGCAACTTGTTTTACCGCTCACCGGGCTCAGACATGGTCCCTGTTGATGACTGATCTACCCTGTTCGCCGGAAAAATTGTTGGAGAGAGACGAGCGACCTGACAAGTGACCGTGTTCGTACCGCGGCTGCGTAGGTGCATGTATGTTTTGTATGCGCAGTTGAAAATCCCGCGCGCACAACTGCTGCGCAGACTAGTGCAAGAGTTTCCATGGTGCTGTGCAGCGGTGTGTGCTGGTGTTAGCTTCCTGGCGTCTGTGTAGTCGCCATAACGACTTGTTACAAAACCTCGCGTCACCAGCCTCTCGACGCGTCGTATCTTGGTTACGGAAGTGGGCGTGGTGTGCGTGTACCGTATATGTTCCAAATTAGCGTAAATGTCCACAATGAAACACCCGTGTAATATAGACATTCAGTTTGTAGCCGAAGCCTCTCTAGCTCTTGCTCATTATGTCAGTGGCTATGTCACCAAGGCTGAGCGTAGCAACATGCAAGGCATCTGGCAGGAAGTTAGTGAGAACAAGAGCATTTACAGTCGCCTTTTCAGCTTTGGTGTTAGAAGTTTACGGTTCAGAGAGTGTGGTCTGTATGAGGCCAGTGATCTACTGCTGGGAGACCACCTCACTGAGAAGTCTGACACAGTCAAGTGGGTAGACGTCTCCATGCCACACAAAAGATCCCGTAGACTGAAGAACCACAAAGTCTTACAAGAAATGGCTAGGCTGAACCCAGATAGTCAGAACATCTTTGAGGATAAAGTCTTAGATATATTCTATCCTCAGAGACCAGCCACCCTTGAGAATGTCTGGCAAAGTTAGTGAGGGATCACACAGTGGCCCAACTAGATACCTCACAGATGAGGAAGAAGCTGAACTAGTTGATTTTCTGGTGGGGTCTGCCAAAGTTGGTTATGCGCGGACTAAAAAGGATGTTCTCGCGATTGTCGACCGTGTTGTGGAAGCAAAGGGGTTGGAAAAAAGTCCTGTCAGCCATGGGTGGTGGGATAGTTTTAGAAAACGTCATCCGCACCTTACTCTAAGAACGGTTGAGAAACTGTCCTATGCCCGCTATGTATCCACTGACCCCACTATATCAACCAATACTTTGAGCTGTTGAAAGCTATATACCCTGAGCAACAATGATCTTATTGATAAACCTGCACAAATATTAAATTTAACTGTGACGAAACAAGTATGCCGCTAGACCTTTTGCTGTTGCAGAGAGAGGGCAGCAACACCCACGTGCTGTTACAACAGGCAGTAAAAAGCAAGTTACTGTCCTGGCATGTGCCAGTGCTGCAGGGTATGCCTTACCACCATTAGTTATTTTTGCTCGAAAATCGTTGAATCAAGAGGTAACCTTAGGGGAGGTTCCAGAGACAATGTATGGCTTGAACAATAGTGGATGGAAGGATGGGGAGCTTTTGACAACTGGTTTACGCATCATTTTTTGCCTCATGCGCCACCCTTGAGGCCACTTCTCCTGCTGTTAGATGGTCATTCAGCACATTCTAATCCTTCCTTTATCAGAAAGGCAGCACAAGAAAAGGTAATTGTCTTTTGTCTCCCTCCAAACACGACACATATAAAGTAACCCCTAGACAAGGGAGCTTTTGGTCTTTTAAAGGTATCATGGGCAAGGAGTGTCATAGATACATGCAACTGCATCCAGATATATGAATTTATGGCCCTCTTCGATAAGGCATTGTGCAAAGCCATGAATCCCTCCAACATTAAATCAGCTTTTCGTACAACTGGTATTTTCCCATTCAATAGCCAGGCAGCTCTTCCAAGCAAGCAGGTCTTCAACCCCAAGTCACTAAATGCATCTACAGGACTGGCATATATCCCCTTGTATAGTCCTCATAAATCTAAACAACAGCATTTAAGGGAATCTGAACCTGCTTCTCCTCAGCATACTTGTGAACGCTTTGATGCTACAAATGATGCTAGTGCCGGTTTTGAGAGTGACCAAGTTTTTTCTGAGCAAGAGGAAGTGCTGTACAGAACCAGGCTGGAGGAAGGGTACGACCTATATGATTATCGATACGATCAGTGGAGCAGAAAGCAATCTCATGATATTCGAGATGATTTCTCGCGATGTCTACACTTGTCTTCAGATGAAGAAGAATCCACTGAACCTGCTCCTGAATGATCATCCCTTGACAATCCAAAAAAATTTTACCTCCATCACCTCCCAATGTCAAGAAACCTCAGACATACCGAAAAACATCTGCAAGAGTCTTAACGAGTAGTGAACATATGCGGAGTATGGAAGAAAAACGTTTGAAACGTGAAAAACTAGAAGAAAAAGAAAGGCGGAGAAATGACAGGGAGATGCGGAGGGAATTGAAGGAAAAAGCTATGGCAGAGAAGATGAAAGGTGAATACTATACTGTAAAATCCTTGACGAACATTTTGTACTTAAAAAGTAGAAATTTTTTCTTCAAAACTGAATTTGCAGGTTTGTAAGCCACAAAATGTAACGGTAAAATTAGATGAGGTCACTGCTTGAAAATATTTACAGCGTACAATTTCACTGTATACCAGGGCTAGAGCTTTGCTTGGGACAATTTTAATCTTGACTTCTGAGAATATTGGGTGAACGGAGCGAGCCCACCCAGTCGTTTATTCAGCTTGAATTTTAGTAAATGCACCATACATCGGAGTGGGCAACGTATGCTTGCTCCGCTTACCTGAATGCTAAGCATTTCACTAGTTGTTATTGTTGCGTACGAAACACTGAGTGAAATTGCCAGGAGGTGGAAGATGATTGCATTGGTGAGGCTGTGTAAGAGGTATTTGATTAGTAGTGCCAGTAGAAAGAAAAAGTACTAGGTGCAAAACCTTGGCGCAGTATGTTGATAGATGTGTGTGCTGGTACACAATGCACGCACACATGTATGATATTGCACTCTTTACTTGCTTCAGCACCCGTGCACAAGAGCGTGCAAATTGTGATTGGCTGCTTGCTGTGCATGCCCGCCAGGGGTTAAAAATATGTAATACATCTATGAACATACATTCCCTAACTCCCTTTATGTAACTTAGGTAACCAAGCACCAAATAGAAGATGGACCATCTAGATAACCCTAAAAATTTTTCACGTTGCATTTGGTGGTAGTCATTGTATGGAAAATCTGTCTGCTCTCAGGTGTGGCGCCAGTGAATAGGATTGCGACAAGGAGCAGATGTCATTGTAATACGCAGGTAGCATATGACTTTCTAACACACTGACTGAATTTCGAACTAGCGTCTCAATTTGTAGATGCCGTTGTTTTGAAGGGTGTCTGAGATTGTATTCTGTTTTGTGTGAGCCCCAGTTTGTGTTCAGGGTGGGTAGTGCCGCTTTGTCTTCAGGGAAGTGTGCTATAATTAGAGTTAGCTACATACACGTCTTTCGCGTTATATGTGGTGTCACGATCTGTCAGCTAGCCAGCACCTAGCATGTTGTTTCCGTCGGGAATCCCCTCTTCGTAGGCTTCATGGGCATGTACTGAATCATGGAGGACCGACCTGTGTGCATGTATAGGTGTATTTGTGAACAGATTGTGTTTTTTACCCTTGTAGCCAATCATCGCCTCATCAACAGTGTTTTGGGGGTGAGGGCTGTAATTCTCCATGCACTTCCGCTTCATGTGTGTGATGATGGGGAGAACCTTCCGCAGACAATGGTACCCAGGCTCATTTTGTGAAGGTAAGCGTGTGTTGTCGACGAAGTGCAGGTAGCGAGATATCTGTTCGAAGCGATCGCGTGTTTTCGACGCAATGAACGTGTTGCGCAGCTTGTCGTCAGTGGACCAGTAGTCACGGATCTCGGGAAGGCGATTTATCCCCATGACTATCATGAAGCCAAGATAGGCTTTCAGTTCTTCAACTGAGGTTGTCCACGTGGCGTTGCTGTATGCATTTTATTACTGGGATAGTACAGATCTGTTTGTGTACTGTAAATTACTCATACCATTCTCTGGTCTGCAGGGTCCAAAATTGTCGCCCTGCATGATTCTCTCTCAGTTTCTCTTCCCCTCCCTCTCCCCCTGCCCCTCCCCCTCCCTCTCCCCTCCCTCTTCCTCTTCCTCTAGGTCTCCCTCTCTGTCCCCCTTTCTCTGTCATGCTTGTCGCTGATTGAGCTGCAATGCCATCCTCCTCGTTCGTCCAGTCCATATCACTCTCACTACTCTCTGAGCTCTCCATTTCTCCCGGACTACTGGCAGCAGGGATTGGCTCTGGATCTACAAGATTTTTACTAGCTCTAACCTTTTTTAGTCTGCTAATGAAGCTGCAAGGTTCACTTTGTGGTGTGTAGTTTTATCAACAGAGGTGGGTGTACTCTTATCAGTGCCAGATGGTGGTGAGACACTCTCAGGCGTGGTATTGTCCCAAAAACCCACCCTTTTCTAACGCTCCCCGATACTACTCGTACGTGTAACATACCCACAATCGGGTGAAGGTTCCGCGGGCATCCCTGCTCGGCTTAGCTGGCATTGACGGGTCTCTTCCACCTTCTCTTCCAGCTCCCGCAGCCTCGCTCTCCATCTTGCTTCGCGCTCCTCCCATTTCTTGTTCTTGTCGGCGACGGCTTTCAGTCTCAGCAGCTCCGTCTCGCTCTGGATCTGTTGAACCGCGTTAGATGCTTGACACAACTGTTCCTGTAAATCTTTTCGTGCTTCTCTCTCTTCCTCGAGTTGCATCCATTGCTCAGATATATGCTGCTTCTCCTCTGCCAGCTCATCAGCTTGCCATGTGCACCGAAGTCTCAGCCCCACCGACTCCTTCTCGGACCGCGCAAGCTTCTCCCTCAGTTCTGCGACCTCCGTTGAGGGTGTCCCAGACGTCCCTTCAACCTCCTCTGACAGGCTGTCACTGAGTTCGTTGACCCATTGCGAGAGACGCACATTCTCCTCTTGAGCTTACTTCATCTCGTCCTCTAGGTCCACTGCGGCCGCTTGTTCTGGGCTTTGGTCCCACAGCCTTTGTTTCTCAACCTCCAATCCATACAGTTTGGTTTTGAGGGCATCCAACTGCGTCCTCAGAGCTTCTGTGGTCAACACCTTCGATCATGCGCACTGCCAGCGTCATTACAAGGACTGTTCGTCGCACAGGGGCTCGAAGAGAGTCGGCATGCTGATCCCGGATAGTCCCCCAAATGTCGTGCTCGGCCAGGTGTTGCACAAGAATATCGGCAGTACTCAACAGAAAAACTCAATGATTTCAGCAAATGCACACTTATATAGGCAAGATACCGGATATGGGAATGCAATAATGAAATCATGAAAATCAAGCAGTCTGAGTCATTATGATAGTCATTACATGTGTAAGGGCGCAATGTGTATAACAGAGGGTTTGCACTTTATTCATTTGCTTTAAACCCTCGGCTCGCGTGCGCTGCGAGCTTTATGGTACTTGGTCCATTAGTGTCTGTCAGTCTGTTACCACGTTTTTTGCAACTATGCGCAAGAAGGCAACAAAACAACGGTACCAAAAGGTTCAGCGCTACACTGGCTTGATATTAAATTTGGCGATTTTCGTATAAGTATACGCGTTCGAGAGATACGGCGTGAAAACCTAGTGAACATGCCAATATGTATTGGCTTACCCCGCCCGATTCTGCTGTATATGCACTACGGAGGCATGCGATCAACGGAAGACGAGTGAAGAGTGCAGCGAAATCGCTAAACGATAGTTTAGCTTGCGAAAGATAAATCTAAACTGTAGGTATAGCTAGTTGAGCGGGTATCCCGACTGCACCAACCGCGGGTAATAATACCGATCCCTCCGCGCCTGCGTTTGTTACACTAGGCGCGCATTTGTATTTCGCATGCGTATGCATCTAACATGCGTAGACACTGAGCTCAGTGTGGCTTCATTCGTCGTTGTCCCGTGGAAGCTACCCGTATAGTGGATGCCAACAAAAGGTCTGGGTTAGCGCTAGCCTCGCACGTGTTTTACAGAGCCTTTTTTCCGTCAGACCACGCGCGCACACGCACACATTAATTAACAGCCCTTGTTGTTAATCAGTATTTCCGACTTTTCAGGCCACTTCTGATACTTGAGTCATTCATTCGTGATGGTGATATTCTCAGTCCTGAAACCAAATTGTTGTATGATTTGTCTGATTTCCGCGTGATCATGGTTCTGTTGTGTACTTGAGATTTGATGAGATGATGATAGTTTCTGTCGTTCTTCGATTTCATGTTTCTAGGCTTTAGGACATGTTCACTGTTTATTCTCATTCAGGCCTGCTTAATAAAGCCAGTCTGTGTCTTCTAAACATGTTCATTGGCCTAGAGTCACACACTCTGATTGTGACAAGTAATATTGCTAGCCAGACCCACAGGTACCACGCCGCCGAGGGTTTTGCAGTTTAGTGCTTGAATAACTAATTGTTTATCCCCCTTTGTTGCAGAATTATGTGCAACACCTTGCAACCCATTTGTGTGTCACCATTCTCTGTGGTTGGTTTGCCCACACCATGTCCCTTACCCTCCGCCCTCCCCCGTCTTTCACCAAAATGTTCTTTGCAATAAGTGCTTGCTCATAGAACTTTCGGTGGCAACTGCTTTGGTCGAACAACCAAACAATGGTGTATTTATCCTTTCTGTACTTGAAATCGGCAATATTTTCTGCATTTTCAACATGGGCCATGAAACGGTTCCCCTTCCAATAGCCATACTCGAGCAGCTGTCGAGCACTCTGACTGATTTCGGGGTTGTGTTCCTTTGCCCTTTTTAAGTGGGCGTCCATAAGTTTGAGGAACCCTCCATGCTACTCCACAAAATCTGAAACCATTATGCCGCTTCCCTTCGTTTTTGGTAGAATTGCTGGTCTGTCTTCCTCCCCCCTATCCACTTCTGATATTAGTGTTAAAAGATTGATTCATCGGGGTAAATGATCACCAACTCTTCATAATATTCAAGCTGATTCATGGTGCCTTGTTGCTGCATGGAGGTGGTGGGCGGTGTGAGTTTCGAAGCTCGTGCAAAGGTTTGAGGAAAGTCTTTCGGTGACGAATGACATCCTCCCACTCATGTCCATTAATGTCGACACCCTTCTTGTGGCTTACCGGTAACACACTGCGGTGCAGAATGGAATCCATCTCGGAAAGTGTTGTTGCAGGTGGCTTGATGGGAGACAGGTGTTGTTTGACCGCAGAATGGTTTCGCCATCATATTTGGCTCTACCTTCACAAATACGTCCTCGCGAACCCACTTTACAGCTTTGTTGTTGAGTACTTCATTGTCTCGCACTTGCCCTGCTGCTGGATCCTTCATTCTCGAAAAAGTCGTTTCTGTATTGGCACACAGTTTTTTCCCATTGAAGCCCACCACTGAGAGCATTTGGAAAAGAGTGGGGTTCCTTGTTTTTGATGATATTCTATTGCACTACCGGTAATAGCTATTGGACAGATGCCGAGTGTATTATCGATTCTCGGGACCGCAAACTGAGTTTAATAATAACCGTAGTATAC